ATGATTTTATGTTTTAGGTCATGGCTGGTACAAAACATCATCTATATACGTGGCATCTATGTTAGGTTTTTATTTAAACGTGATGAACGCATCAAGAATGTGATATTTAAATTAATGTTCAAAATTGAGGAGGAGGAACAATTTATGTCAGAATGGGATTCAATGCTAAGGGTGTATGATCTTGTTGGTAACACATGGATTAACCATTTGTTTAGCTTGAGACATAGATGGGCCATGGCATTCGTTAAATATACGTGATGTGCGGGAATGCGCACTACGCAATTGAGTGAAAGTTTTAATGCTTGCTTGAAGGAGTACTTATCGAGGCAACTCATTCTTCCTGATTTCTTCACTCATTTTGATAGGCAGTTGTCGGATAAGCGTTATAAGGAGTATGAAGCTAAGTACCGTTTGTTGTAGAGGCTTCTGCAAGTTAAGTCAAAGTGTAACATGTTACTTAAAGCGGGAAAAACGTACACAAAAATTATATTTCAGCTTTTCCAGGAAGAGTTTTTAACAGCTTGTGTGAGTAATAATGTTAATAGTTGCAGTGACATGGATAACAATGGATAACGTATTTATAAAGTTACTAGTCTTAATGGGATGCAACGTTCTGTGACTAGAATAGTTGAGGATGAATTATCTTGTTCATGTGGTAATTTTGAAATGAATGGATTTTTCTGCAGTCATATTTTAAAACTCCTTAAGGATTGTATGAACATCACTGAATTGCCTTCTTGATATATATTAAGAAGGTGGACTAAGAAAGCCAGAGATGGGAACTTGGATGAGATTCTTGGCCGTGAAGTGTTGATGGATCCTAAACTTGAGGTAAGGCGACGACACATGACCCTTTGTCGTATTCTAACCGAAATATCTTCCATTGCATCGAAAGACAACGAGGGATACAATGATTTATTAGTAAAAGCAATGGAATGGAAAAAATCTACCAAAAGAAGTTGTAGTCGTACTTTGGTTGGCACTAGAAAGGGTGGTAAAAAACAGAATAATGGGGAGATAAAAAACACTGGAATAATTCCCATGGGCGTCAAGACGAAAGATACATCTAAAGGACAAATGCGTAGGCTCAAATCTCCCACTGAGAAAAATGCCAAGAAGAAGAGCAAGTGTATGAAAAGAATAGTTGAGGTATTTACCAAAAGTTTTTACTTTACTTTTCAAATTGTACTTACATTATTGTGGTCCTTGTTTTACATTGATGTTGTGGATTTAATTGTCGTTTCTGGTTGTGCACTAAATCGAATAAATTCACAATTTTATTGTGTTTTAGAAAGCGAATGATAGCATGGTCTCCGGAGTGGCAGGTGGCAGTTGTAGTCAGACATATCTATTAGTCCATGTTAGTATTGTTACGACTATATCATATCCAACACTTAATTTTCATGACATTTGTGCAATTGGTTAATTTTGTTTACAAGTTTACTGTAACCTAACAGAAGTACACAATATTTGTTGAAGGGTAATGAAAATCCAGCTAAATGTGTACATCATCAATGTTATATGCCATCACCACCTATAATGCACAATAGGCAGGCTTTCCAACCTCCATACAGCCCCGGTATTCATTTTCCGCAACCCATTACTCCATTAAGTAACCAGGTAATTATGTTGAATCAATTGCATTGTATTAGTGGAACATGCTTTCTAGATTTAATTCCCATAATTTCTAATGAACACTATAAAATGTTGCAGAGTTATATTGGTGATTCACGCTTGTTTTCATCTGAACTATTTAGTACTCCTTCTTCATATGACGAATCGTGCACGACTAATTTGGGAAGTCAACTGGTATCGATTTTAAAAAAATTTGTTAGCCAAATCAATATTATTATCTGTTACGAGTTATTTCTTTATTTTATCTAACAATTCAAATTTCTTTCCATGGTCATAAATAAAGACACATGCTCCCAACCTCGGGCAATCGACTTCCACAGAAATGTCGCAACTGCCAAACTCAGAGATTAGTCGTCCAATTCAACAACAATTGTTCAAATATTGAGTAAGCAATGTTTATGTATTTTACTTTATCCATGTCCACTTCGTCTAATTCTCTGCTACTGTATCAAAAGGATAATTTTAAATTACATGCATCTCTAATTGGGCTAACGAATGACTGTGGTATCTGCAGCAAGATAACAAAGGAGGGAGCTTTTGGTTTTGTGAATTTTTGAATGAATTCGTCTGCCATAGTTAAGTGCAGTTTGGCGTTGGTAGTACCTCCAAAAGAAGGATGGGATTTGGGTTGTATGGATGAAATTTGATATCACATAAATTCTCTCAAAAAATGATATCTCATAAATTCTCATTAATAATTTCCTTCACATAAAGCTTGCATTTGACTTCATGTACTACCTTAATACCCTCCTCTTCAGTCTTTTTTACAGATGGGTTGCTAGGTCGTTCCCCATCATCTTCTGATAATCCAAGAGAATATAAGTAAAAGAAAAATAAATACACAAGTAAGCAACAGTCGCCCATTGCAGACAATATTTTCTTATCATTAAAATATTTTACCTAAGTTTTCTAAAGCAGTTCAAATTTGAATTAAGTTCTCAAAACATTCCGGCTTTTAGAATTCTATGAATGTAAGGACAAATGAATAGTCTTATAAATGTGACGAAAAAAGAATAGTCTTATAAAATGTGACGAAAAAAGAATAGTCATTTCACTAAAGCGAAGTAAACTTTTAGTGGTCTACATGCCACGAACAAGCATGGAGGACCACCATAAGTTTCACATTAAGCTAAAAGTGCAATCCTTCTGTAAAAAGGCACCCTTTCGTTGAAAAAAAAAAAGGAACATCCAGAAAATGAAATTAAAGTATAATAAGATTAACCCAAGCCTATAAGGAATATAAGAATCTATGGGGGCATATAACTCAATTCCTTCATTTACATCACAAACCCTATTTCTCATTAAAAAATTAGAGAATTTTTTTTAAAAACCCATAAAATCAAATATTGGATTTATTTTCTTTCATCAGTTCACAACAAGTTACAGTCAAGATCTACAAATAGGCAACAAACTAACAGCCAAGGTCCAAGAGGTTACCACCCTAACAACATAGTAATTCAACAGAAAATATATATATATATATATATATATATATATATATATATATGTATAACTAAATGAAATTAAAATGTTTGTAACAACATTTTTGGTTTAATCACAAAAGCATCACCATAATCATCATCCTAACCATTATTCCTATTGATGGAGTCAGTCACATTCATTCTCTTTTTTTTTCTATTCTTTCCTATCATACACCATATATATATATATATATATATATATGTATAACTAAATGAAATTAAAATGTTTGTAACAACATTTTTGGTTTAATCACAAAAGCATCACCATAATCATCATCCTAACCATTATTCCTATTGATGGAGTCAGTCACATTCATTCTCTTTTTTTTCTATTCTTTCCTATCATACACCATGTCTACTCTAATATTTAATTTTTTAAAGTCATTTTTAATTAGTTCATCTCATGTAAGTTTTGGTCTGCCTCTTTGTCACTTACCTTCTAGGCAAACAATTCTATTTCTTCTAATCGATGCAACTCATGTAAGTTTTGTTCTGTTCAGACAAGCAAGTTTCCTGCTATATGTTAATTGTGTGTTTGCTATTGCTATATGTATGATTTTATTTTTTGTTTCTTTAATTTAAGGTCTGTTAAATCAGTTTACTTCTGTATATATATATATATATATATTGCAATTTTTTGGGTTTGGTATCACACACCATTTGTTATCTTCAAACTTATTTAACCCCCTGTGGGTTTAAAGATAGATTAATATGTCAAATTTACTCATGTTCAATTTCAACCAAATATTATGTGATATTTTATGTAAAATTTGCATATATTTCTTATACAAAATCATCTAAATAACCATAATCAATAAAATTAAAATTAAATAAAGATAATACATTTACTCATGTTGAATTTAAACCAAATATTATGTGATATTTTATGTAAAATTTGCATATATTTCTTATACAAAATCATCTAAATAACCATAATCAATAAAATTAAAATTAAATAAAACTAAAATTATATCGATGTGTATGCCCGTAACCTATCATTCCCTAATTTTTCCCATATCTAAATTAGATTTTGGGTTTGGTCAAAATATCTGTACGAATTAGGGTTTTTGATTGGAGATTTTGGGAATTGGAGAGCTGATTTGAGAGGGTTTCAATCTTTTTCTTTGCTGGTTTCATATGGCTTCAAGATTTGGAACAAAGTACAATACATTGAAGCTTACTCTCTCTCTTTAAACAAAACCCTAGCACCACTCACAAGACAAATTTTGATACAAATCATACCTTCTAGGTTTGATACGGCTTCAAGATTAGAAACAAATTCCTCAGGATCGAAGGCTTCTTTAGTTCATCCACCTTCAGTCGCTTTAAAATCGAAATTTTCTTCTTCAGTTCAACTGATTTCAATCGCTTCAAAATCGGAATCAATATCTCTGTGGTGGAAGACAAGAAGAAATACAAATAGTGGAAGACACGAACACTTTGTCTATATACACTTGTAATACGCATTTAGTAAAAAAAATTTACTCTTTTTTTGTCTTTCATTACTAACTGACGTGGCAAAATTCAAGACCCACATCTCTCACCGGTTCGGACAGATTACCTTGTTGCGCCGGAGACAATTTTAATCCGATTGGAGTATATATAGAGGACAAGAGCAAAAGTTAATCTTTGTTTCTTGCTTTGCTTATATGCCATGCCATGTTTGCAGTATATATATAAAATAATTGGCTACCGTATTAGTAAGCATGTTATCATCATTTGGAGTCCGTGCTACCTGTAACCTTCTAACAATCGGGTCAGGAATTGATAAGAGATTGAATAAAATTAGATCTCCCTAAAATAAAATAAAAAATAAAATAAACCTGGTAAATAGTGTCAAAATTTTCCAAAGGAACACCTAAACAGAAAACACAATAGCAAGGGTTTAACAAAGTTGATTTAATAATCCAAAAGCACTCATGTAACAGCATTCAGGTGAAAGTTATATTGAAAAAGAAAAAAAAACACTCGAATGAAAACAGATAGGCAGTTGCCCTTCCATGTTAGGTGATTATAGAAATCACAACGATGCCCCTAAATTCAACTTAATTTGAAGATTTATGGAGATTAACTTCAAACAGATACGTTTCCAAGTTCTGGTCTGGATACCATAGATCTCCCAATACTGTGTCACCCGAATAACAAGAAACATTACATGATAGCACCAATCGAAGTTCTCCAGAAAAATGGGTACAAGAGGAAAAGAAAGACCTAGAATCCAATGTAAGGATTAGTTCAAGCTAAACAGGGGCGGTGTCATCTTTCCCACCAGCATACGCCCAAAACGAAACGGTGTCATCTTTCCCACCAGCATACGCCCAAAACGAAACCACTCAGGCAAATCCAACATCGTACAACCACCAAATTCTCATAATCTTTAGTACTATCCTCAGTAATAATACCTACTCCGGTCCCGATCACGGTCCCTGTCCCTGCCATATTCTCTGCCTCGATCATAGTCATAACCTCGGTCTCTATCTCTTCCCCTGTCCCTCTCTCGACTTCTGCTCCGGCGCCTTCCTCTATCATCTCGTTCTCGGTTCTTGCTGCTTTCCCTCTCATCTTGTTCTCTTCCTCTGTCTCTGCTTCTTTCTCTTCCATCTTTGTCACTCATACCTGCCAATAATATCATTTGTGAACAAAATAAAACAGCCTTGCACAATATGCAATCCAATAATATCATTTGTAAACAAAGTAAAACAGCTTGCACAATATGCACGGGTTCGACCGATACAGAACTTGTCAATATATAAGCTTAGACTACCAAGTATGCAAATTTGAGTTTTGAGTATGAAAAGGCCACTTTGAGCAGTTAATCCGAATGTTGTGTCTGTACCGAAACCGCCCCTTCAACACCCTTGATTTATAAGGACCAAGACATATAATGACCTCTTCTATTAGTAAATAATTAATTCTTTTATTTGGGGGTCGGGGCACGAAAATATGTAAAGAAAAATGCACACTCACAGAATATAATTATGATATCCTTGTGTATGTCATGATTTAACCAATGAAATTCTCGATCAAATAAATACATGTTGCAATTTCCTTGTCTCGCTACTTACCCGAAAAAATAAAATAAATAAATAAATAAAATTCCTTATCTCATTACCATTTAAGTATCCTCTTCAGCTACTCAATGCCATCAGCATGGTAAAGACCAACCATACGAGGAGGGACTGATATATGTGAAGACACAAATACCGCAACTATTTTAACAGACAAATCACATGTTACTAGATATATAAAGACAATATATAAGATCTATGCACACAATATATAAGATTTGTACACACACAGTATGTTCATGCCACACCACTGTCGCCCCCCCACTGTTGCCATCACCCCCTCCACACCACTGCCCTCCCACAATCTCTCTCTATCTCTCTCTCTCACACATCGCAAGTGAAGCAAACAGAAAAAGTAACAAGTCTTCTTACAACTGTAAGGGAGACTAAGAATACTCCAATCACCGTCGGAGCCTAGATTTCTAAAGGGAAATCTGGAAAAAGCCTGAAGAACAGTTTATAATCTGGTAATTACTCAAACTATATTGATAAAGACTTGGTTCAGAACAGTTTATGACACTTACTTCCCCTAGAAACTTTTTTGATAAGTAATAATAACATAAAAAGGCGTTCAAAAGCAGAGCACATCCCTTATACAGAAGTGGAACCGGGGCTAAGGCCCCAAAGAATCCAAAAAAATAATTAAATCATCAGACTCCTCTTCACGAAATTGAAAAGAGAACGAAGAATGTAAAGTTTCAACATTGCCGTAGACGACTCTTTCCCTTCGAACATTCTACTATTTCTCTCCTTCCAAATGCACCACCATAGACAATGTAGTACAATTCTCCAGAAATAGTGTACATTCCTTCTCACACGACATCCTCTCCAAACATAAATCAAATCTTTAGTAGATCGTGGCATTACCCAACGTATGCCAAACAACCCAAGAATAAGATTCCTACAATCGTTCGCCACAGGGCAATGCAATAAAAGGTGATCATCTGACTCCCCATCTTTCTTGCATAGACTACACCAATTAACAATACAATTGCCCCTTTTCCTCAAGTTATCAATTGTCAGAATCTTTCCCCAAACAGCGGTCCAGACAAAAGAAAGCCACCCTAGTTGGAGCAATGGATCGCCAAATAGTCTTCCACAGGAAGCCACAATTATCAAAATTAGACAGACATAAAAATAAGGATCTTATTTTGAAACAATCGTGGGAAGATGGAACCCAAATCAAATCATCATGCTCTCTGCCAACACCCTCCTACCGATACAAAAGATCTAGGAAGACATATACCTCATCTAACTCCCAATCCTGAAAAGAGCGCCGAAAGTGCACATCCCACGTAATCCCACTGCTATCAAGCCAATAATGGTCAACTTTGTAGGCGTGTTTATAAACTGCAATACTGAATAATCTAGGAAAAGTACGAGATAATGGCTCATCACCACACCAAAGATCTACCCAGAAACGAACGCGACGTCCATCACGGACTTTGAATCTAATATAAGCAGAAAAGGCATCCCATCCCTTCCAAATAGACTTCCACATCCCTACTCATCCCACAAGGGAAACCGGATATGTAGACCAACCGCTAACCTCTTCCCCAAATCGACAAGAGACTAACCTGTGCCAAGGATGATGTCTTTCCCTCCCATATCTCCATAACCATTTGCCCAGGAGAGCTTGATTGAAGGGAACTAATCGTCTTATGCCAAGACCACCCAATTTCATAGGCTTGCAAACTTGCTCCCATCTGACAAGGTGAAACTTGAACTTATCACCCCTTCATCCCCATAGGAAGTCCCTTTGAATTTTTTCAATCCTATCCGCAACGGAGCAAGGGATTTGGAACATAGAAAGAAAATAAGCGGGGAGGCTCGATAATGTACTCTTAATAAGAGTAACTTTACCCCCTTTGGACAAGTATTGCTTCTTCCATCTTGCCAATCTCTTCGCATACCTATCAATCACTGAATCCCAACTCCCCACTATCCTTGAAAAGACCCCTAGGGGCAAACCCATATAAAGAATAGGGAAAGAACTCACCCTGCATCCAAGAACTGCAGCTAAAGAGGGGATATCCTGAACATTCCCTACCCACAAGCACACTCTTAGCCACATTGACCTTTAGTCCGGAAACCGCTTGAAAACAAGCCAGGATGCACCTCAAATATCGGAGTTGAGACACTTTCCCAAGTATACTTAGTAATTTCAAAGCTTAGTAAAACAAAGACTCTGACTTTTCTTCAAGGCATTCCAAGGCACCATTGACCTCAATCCTGACTAAAGTACCCTTATTGATTTGCATTAGCAAGCCCCCTCTGTCATCTCAACCACACCACCCACCATATATCCATATTCTCTCTCTCTGCAATTTAGAATTTTGAGATTTTCAGCGAAGATGTGGGCATTGTGAGAGTGGGATTTTCAGCGAGCATGTGGAATTTCAAATTTTCGATGCGAGTATATATGTGTGTGTTTGTATGTGGGCATTGTGAGTTCATATTTTGGGATTTCAGAATCAAAATCCATATGCTGAGTTCGAATTTTGGTATTGTAAGTTTGAAGTCAGGCAAAATCAATTTTGGAAATATGCTTATCCCCCTTTTGAATCTTGGATTTCTGGGATTAAACAACTTGTACTTGCTTTACAAATCTTCAATGGAATCTCTTTCACCAATGAGACCTGAATAATTGGAGGGGTGAGGGACGAGGGAGTTTGGCAGCGTTGGTCGGGGAGAGGTGGAGGAAGACAATAGTGGAGAGGGGAGAACTAGGCGTTGGAGGAGAAGGCTATGGTGGCGACTTTGGCATGCGGTGGTGGTTATTGTAGCTTTGGCACAGGGTGGAGGCGTTGCTATGGCGTGCGGTGAATGGCTGTGGCGCGCAGTAGTGGGACTGATGGTGGTGGTGGCGGTGGCGGTGAGGAAGAGGAGAGAGAGAGAACTGATGATTAAGAGAGGGAAGGAATAGATATAGCTAGGAGGGGTAAACTAGTAACTTAATCTTCCATTGTTTGCATCGCATAATTTAGTTTAGATCAATAAAAGGGTATAATGGTAAAATCACGTTCACCGTTAAAAAAACTGTTGAAATATATGTATTATTATTATTATTATGTCTATTAGTTGTTTTCAGCCTTTTATTAGGTGTTTTATGTAAGATCTTTATTATCATGGGATTTTGGCATATTTCCTATTTTTTTTTTTTTTATTTGGTTTCCTTTCTTGACACCCTATTCTTGTATATAAATATATGTCTTGGCTCTCGGTTTGAGTAAGCCAAAACCCAAAACTTCTTTTTGGTATTAGAGCAAAACAAAAACCTTCGGGTAACCCTCTGTTTTTGACTCCTTTTTTAGGAGAATTCCCTTCGGTTTTTTATGACCTAAGGGTCCTCCTGGTGTTTTTTTTTTTTTTTTCTTTGTGGGCTGCCAGTGTTTGTTCGGCAACATATTTGGAGGAAAGCGCCGATTTTTCCGACCTTGTATTTTTCTCTTTCCTCCTGCTTTGACGTGTGCATCAGCCTTATTTTGGTACTATGATTGATTCTAGTAGCCAAAAGGGCACTTTATCCTCGGTCCAGCGTACTTTATCTCCAACACATCATACTCCGGCACAGTGGGTTACTAGTGTGCTTTTGAATGGGCGCAACTTCGTATCTTGATCCCGTTCTCTTCAACTCTATATTAGAGGGAAAGGAAAAACTGGTTGGCTTCTAGGTCTAGTCAAGGAACCGAAAAAGATGGATACTAAATATATTGCATGGGACATGGACAGGTACATCATTCTGGGTTGGGTCTTCAACTCAATGGAGGAGCATATCTATAATATGTTCATGTTTCACACTTCCGTTTTTCGTCTGTGGCAAGCCATTAACATGATGTATGCCCATTCCCGCAATAACGCTCGTATCTTTGAACTCTGTCAGGAGATTGCTCATGCATCTTAGGAGACACTTAAGCTGTCAATATCAGAGTATTTTGGGTACCTCCAGTCCAGGTGGGAAGTAGCAAAGTATAAACCTCTCTCCGATTTCTCTGAAGAAGCTGCAACTCTTTTGGTCAAGAAATTGGACCACCAATATACCTACCAGTTTTTGATGGGTTGACCATGAGGAACATAGACATCAGCTCTCTCAGCCAGTAGCTTTACTAAGGACTCCAGTTGATCAGATGGCTCTTGCTGCTAATTCTAAACGTTTAGAGGGAAAGGTTATTTGTCAACATTGTGGAGCCACGGATCATGTAAAGGAACGTTGCTTTAAGCTTCATCTCGAGCTAAAGCAGAAATTTTATCGCAATCGTCCTTCTAGCCTTGGCCACACTGCCACAGTAGCCGATACTATTGGTGGGTATACTACACTACAGATTGTTGTCCCTCCTGCTTCAACTCCTCCTAGAACATCTTTTCAGGACTTCAATCAGTTACAGTCCTAGATTGGTCAGCTTCAGGAGCAGTTCAGAGCTTTATCTACCAAGGCTGGCTCTTCTATTCCCACGGCTACTATAGCTTCAAGTACTCTTGCTTTTCATGTTAAAGTGGGAAAACCTACTTGGGTTCTGAATTCCACAGCCAATGATCACATGACTGGTG